AGAATTTTGCTGCCACACACCAGCATCTACCACCTGGAATGACGGCTTCACCCTGTCCAACCCTAAGGACAGAATTCAGTTTGGAGATGCCTCATGCAAGCTAGGTCCCAATGATAGATGGAATCAAGGGCTATAGTAATATACCAAAATACCAGCCTATTTGAGCTCAAAACACTTACTGCTTACTGTTAGTAACTGAATCTATTTTGATCTTTTAGAAAGTGTGCAAGCACACACACAAAGCAGTTGAAAGAAAGTAAGTAGGCCCTGGAAAGAGGGTATGGCCACGAGTGAATTCCAAGAAGGCCAGATTTCACCACCATGTCTGATATTCTATATCTCTGGAATAATGGTGAACCAGGATTAGGTTATTACAGATGCTGCTCACTTCCAGGCATCCTTGTTTTGGAAGGATTTTTAGAGAATTTTAAAGATTAGGGTTAGGGTTGTGTGTAACTGTGCAGGAATGCATTTAGATAATGCAGAAATTGAAAACCTTGGTTGAGAAATGTTGAGAGGGTAGCTGTTGTTGGAATGCAGTAGGTACCAACCATGAATGTTGACCCAAAGAGACTCAAATAGGAGTTTCATTTATTTAATTGATGTTCTTGTCTTTTTTAAAAAACTCATAGTGGCTTACATCATTCCCTTCCTCCATCTTATCCCCACAACAACAACCCTGTGAGGTAGGTTGGGCTGAGAGTCTGTGACTGGCCCTAATTCACCCAGTTGGCTCCATGGCTGAGCAGGGACTAGAACTCAGATCACCTTCATTCCAGACCCACACTCTTAAGCACAACACCACACTCTCAAAAGTATTCAAAAGATAATATAATGGTCCAGGGTGTGGGTGGACATATAACAAACACATCTGGACCCAGACAATCAGGCAAAGTGGTACAAGGCCAAAGTCCAATCATCAGTCTAAATCACCAGTCAAGTCTCAACACCAAACAAGCCAGGGTCAAAATCAGGAATCAGTCATAGAGCCAGACCAGATGCAGTCCAGTAAAGAAGAGCATGGTCAGAATGAGCTAGAGGTCATGAACTAGTAACACAACACAACAAGGAGCAGGCAACAGAAGCCAGTGTTGCTGAGGCAACTTCTGGAGAGAAGAGCCAGTTTGTAATAGCTCTTCCCCCAGGGCTCCCATGCGGTGCTCATGAGGGCCCTGGCAGCTGCAGCAGAGTCTGGGACTAATTCTGCAACTACCAGGGCTGTTATTCTGAAGCTGCTTAGATCCTGACAAGTAAGCTGTTGAACATAGATTTGCACTATCTTCACAGTGAGAACCTCATCAATATTGAGGGAGGATTCTCAGGGTGATGCTTGGGGAAATGTAAAAATGCATCCCACACCATTTTCTGGGGAAAAGCTAACAGTCAAAACTCTTGGTAAGCTTTAGAATTGCTGAAGTCTTTTCTGTTGTAAATCCCTGGTTTTGGAATAAGCTCTCTGGAAGATAGTGGAAGAGATACTGACGTGCTATGGTCCATGGGGTTGCAAAGAGTCAGGCATGACTTTGCACCTGAACAAGACAAGATGCCAAAGAGGTGTGCCCCAAAGTCTTATGTTGTATTCTTTTTGGCACCAGGTGAAGACCTTTTTATTTTCCCAGTGTTTTAGCAGTTTAACTTTTTATTTTTGTTTTTATATATTCCATTTTATTTTGTACTGCTGCTGTGCTTCTATGTTGAATTGCAATTGCTATTATCATTTTATTCTTTTAAAGTGTTTTTTAATGTTTGTTTAATTTTAACTTTTGTTAACCATCCAGACAGCCTCAGCTATTGGGTGCTGTAAAAATGAAAAAAATAAAATAAAATAAAAAATGGAGTTTTGACAGGACAATCAGGTACCTTTGACTGAGACATACAGCTGGATAGCAGGTGCCCTCATAACAATGTCCAACCAAGCTTCCCAATTTCTGCAACTGCAAGTGTGGCTAAAATAAAAAAAAAACAATATTTGCATACATCATGTGTGTACATTATTTGTTTTTCAAGTTTGTCTACTGCTGACAATTCCTCTGATGCTTGGGCAATTTGAAGGTATTGTCAATGGCTGTCAAAACTGCGATTGTGAACCCAAACTGCTACACTGGATTTTGTGATCTCTGAAAAAAAAAATAGCACAGTGGAAAAAACATTGGTGAGCCAAAAACAGTTCGCAATTGCAGTGAGTGCCACTCAGCAAGTATTGCCCAGCACTGGCAACTTCCTGGGTAAACTTGGCAAAAGTAGCAAAGGGGCTTTGTTGCTATTGCCAAGCAGCTTACTAGCTGCTTCTTGGTAGTCAAGATGGATTCTGTCACCCACGTTCTGACAACATGAAAACCCACTGTGGGCAGAACAGTTCCTACAATAAGATACGGGTTGTCAGGGTGGCTTGTTCTCCTCAAACAAGTCACCCTCTGAGAATCAATTCAGGTTTGCATAACATGGCAATCCATCATGGGTAACATGGGTCATGTTGTGCAAATCCAGTCACTATCTTTCAGCCTAAAAGGTTTGTTGTAAAGATAAAAAATGTGTGTGCGTAGGAACAGAAGCATGTATGATACCTTGACTTCCTTGGTGGGAAATAAATACATGTCAGCAGATGTAGTTCCTTATCAGATGTTTATTAAACCTCTTTGTAAAAACCCTGACAATTGCACATAGACAAATGAAAGGTTGGGCAGCAGGGCATGTGCAAATTCTGTGTTCCAGATCTCACTGGCCTAGTAGGCAGATTTTCAGCATGTTCTTATTGGCAAGGAATTTTAAAGGCATCCAGTGACATGGTTCGCATGTTACAGCCAATTCCTTAATCATTTAACTCAGAAATTGGTGGGAGCTTGTGAATGCACTGCATCTTGCTCACTCACAGCTTCTTCTTTCTGAATTCTCCATCTCAGATAAAAACAATGCTTACAGCTGGCCTGTTCTCTATCCTAAAATGAACTCTTTAATTTACACAGGTTGCATGGCTTGGAAAACAAAATCGAAATTGCAGCAGTGGAAGAAAAACACACACATATTAACAGGTGATATACTTTTCAATGCTGATCCTGCCAACAGAATATGTCTTAAACCAGGGGTCTCAAACTCGCGGCCCGTGGGCCAATTGCCAGGATGGACGGGGCACGGGGGAGGGGCCCTGCGGCCTTCAGAGCGCTGGCGGCACCTGGGTCGGCTGTGGGATGAGCGGCCCAGCACCACCGCGGTGGTGGAATACTTGATGCGTCCCAGCCTCACCCAGACTCTACTTCCAGTGGCCCCCAGGTAAGTTGAGTTTGAGACCCGTCTTATTCTTCCTTACCTAGGGACCTCCAGAACTGTTGGGAGTACAACTCCCAGCTTCCCTCAGTTTGGCTGGGAGTTGTAGCCCAACAGACCTGCAGGGTACTAGGCTGGGAAGGGCTGACCTGAAGCTTGCAGTATCTGTTTGAATGAATTTGCTCCAGATTTATTTGGAGAAGGGCAACCCACAAACCACTGCCTTAAGAATTATTTGCACCTCAGCAAATATAATCCAACCAAATTCAAAGGGACTAAAGAGGCTTTATGAGCAACTGACTCATCTTAACAATTTGCACGATAGTCCACCTTTTCACATGCATTCAGAAGTAAGATTTATCCTGTATTTATTTTACAAGTGTATGATATATTTTCAAATCAGATATACTCATATTGAATAAATTTTCTATTGTTCCATCTAGTCAAAGCAATACTTATCCATAGGAGAGGTATCAGCAGGCTTGGGAGAACCCAAAAGCTTACAGAATTACAAAAACCTTGTGCAAAGTGAGGAAATCCAAACAGTACTCCTATGAATTTGTCTAAGTGCATGAATGTAATAATCGGAACATGAATATGGGCAGAAGGATGGCTAGTTCAAAGTCTGCCAAACTCTGATAACTTTACACAACCTGATACATTTAGGGATGATATGGTCAGGGTAATACTTGTGGTCCAAATTTAATGGTCAGTTAAAGTTGCTGACTGAAAATATTGAAGTCTTCAACAATATAAAGATTTACCTGAAACACACTGGAATTCATTTCTAAGCAAACATGCATAGTTTTGAAACTTCAATATATGTAATGCAAAAGGTTACAGAGCTTATTTTTAAATGCACGGAACATACAATTTGGCTTTAAGAGAAGGAGTTTGTATGTATATTAAAGCAGGATGAAAGCTTAAGTATTTGATCGGTTTTGGAATAAAATCAAGAAGCTACTGCCACATAAAAAAGCATGTATTTTGCAAACAAGAATATGTTCTTGTTAATGCCATTATTCTTTATGGGTTTTTTTAATTCCTTGATTAATCTTAATAAGTGGTCTAAGGTTTTAATTATTATATTTCTATTTCTATTATATTAAAACATTAAACAAAGGTTTTAAAATCCAAAGAAATGTAAAACAGCAGCAGAATAAAGCATAAGCGAGGACTGAAGTAAAACTGGAGTTTAATCATAACTATTTAAAGAAATGAAATCAATAGCATCAGGATAGAATATTAAACGGTTGACCCTCCTAAAGCAGCTGAAAATGCAGCCCGTTCCCAAACAATGTTATTTTAGTGCCCAGAAATGTAAGCTTATTTATTTTTATAAGGCCTGTTGAACACAGTGGACTTCGCAGGGTATATTACTTCTAACACATCAGCAACTCTCTTACACGGACTTTCCCCACCCCCAACTACCAACCATGAAATCACGAGGAACAACGCAGAGCATTGTAGGAAATGTATTCATTTTATTTTCCGGTCTCTTCGGCCGTACGTAGGACTTCCGCGTAAGAAATACTACATTCCCCATCGCCCCTGTGGGAAAACATTCCCCAGCCGCTCTCTCGGGTTGTTCCTGACCTGCACTGTATGACGGTACTTGCAGTTTTCGCTTTGGCAAAACTCCTATTGTACACAGCCTGGCTTCCGGGATAGAGAAAACTACCATTCCCTTCTATCTCAAGAAGTTGCGCTTGCGCTTTGGCCATGGAAGGAGGGAAGGGAAGGCCGTTACGTTGTGGGCAACGGCCAGGGCAGTGAAGAGGTAGTTGGTGGTGGTGCCGGAGGTTTCTCTGTCTGCTGTTTTGGTACTCCGCGACCGGGGAAAGGGCAGGTTGTGTCAGGCGCCGTCCGTTACGGTGAGGGAGGAGAAGATGAACCTGTGAGGGAAGGGAGAAGACAAGCAAGTGGGGAAGGAGACCGGCCGCGGGCGGGCGGGCGGGCGGGCAAGAGAGGAGAAGGCGGAGGCGCGGAGCGATGTCTCAGCCGCCTCAGCAACATCCGCCTCAGCAGGAGCAGCAGCCGGTTGCAGCCCCGATCTCGAAGAAGAGGGACCGGCGTATTTTCTCGGGCACTTGCCCGGATCCCAAGTGCCAGGCGCGTTTATTCTTCCCTGCGCACGGGCCTCTGAGCGGCGGGAGCATCGAGTGCACGGATTGCGGGCAGCGCCATGAGCAGCGGCAACTGCAGGGGGTGGAGGAGGTGACGGACCCGGACTTGGTGCTGCACAACTTGCTCCGGAACGCCCTGCTGGGGGTGAGTGGGGCTGGCCCCCCAAGGAAGAACACGGAGCTGGTTAAAGTCATGGGCCTGTCCAACTACCACTGCAAGCTACTGTCTCCGATCCTGGCCCGCTATGGCATGGACAAACAAACGGGCAAGGCCAAGCTTCTGACTGAGATGAACCAAGGAGATGTCTTTGACTGTGCTCTTCTTGGGGATCGTGCCTTCCTTATTGAGCCTGAGCATGTTGACACAGTAGGTTATGGCAAAGATCGTTCGGGTAGCCTCATCTACTTGCATGACACTTTGGAGGATATCAAGAAGGCCAACAACAGCCAAGAGTGCCTCATTCCAGTCCATGTGGATGGTGATGGCCATTGCTTGGTCCATGCAATTTCTCGGGCACTGGTGGGCAGGGAGCTGTTCTGGCATGCCTTGCGGGAGAACCTCAAGAAGCACTTTATGGAGAATCTCACCCACTACAAAGCCCTTTTTCATGACTTCATTGATGCAGCGGAATGGGAAGACATAATCAATGAATGTGACCCTTTGTTTGTTCCTCCAGAGGGTGTACCAATGGGCCTTCGAAACATCCACATCTTTGGATTGGCCAATGTGCTGCACCGGCCTATCATCCTCTTGGATTCCCTGAGTGGAATGCGTAGTTCAGGAGACTACTCTGCCACTTTCCTTCCTGGCTTGGTACCACAAGAAAAATGCATGGGAAAAGATGGCATGTTGAACAAACCTATTTGTATTGCTTGGAGTAGTTCTGGACGTAACCATTATATTCCTCTGGTTGGAATAAAAGGTGCTGCTCTGCCTAAATTGCCTATGAAATTACTTCCTAAAGCTTGGGGAGTACCTCAGGATCTTATTAAAAAGTATATCAAATTGGAAGAGGATGGTGGTTGTGTGATAGGAGGGGACAGAAGTTTACAAGACAAGTACCTGATGAGGTTAGTTGCTGCCATGGAGGAGGTTTTTATGGACAAGCATGGTATTCATCCCAGTCTAGTAGCTGATGTACATCAATATTTCTATAGACGGACTGGTGTTATAGGAGTTCAGCCTGAAGATGTCACAGCAGCTGCTAAAAAGGCAGTGGTGGACAACCGCCTTCACAAATGTCTCATATGTGGTGCCCTTTCAGAACTTCATGTTCCTCCAGAGTGGTTAGCTCCAGGAGGGAAACTGTACAATCTGGCAAAAACTACCCATGGCCAACTAAGACCTGATAAAAACTATAGTTTCCCCCTTAACAGCTTAGTATGCTCCTATAACCCTGTGAAGGATGTGCTTGTGCCAGACTACAGTTTGAGTAGTTTGACTGCATGCAATTGGTGCCATGGCACATTAGTGCGTCGTGTCAGAAATGATGGCTCTGTTGTATATTTGGATGGGGACAGAACTAATACCAGATCCACAGGTGGCAAATGTGGTTGTGGATTCAAGCATTATTGGGAAGGTAAAGAATATGACAATCTCCCTGAAGCTTTTCCTATTACTTTAGAATGGGGTGGGAGAGTGGTGAGAGAGACAGTGTACTGGTTCCAGTATGAAAGTGATCCATCTCTGAACAGCAATGTTTATGATGTTGCTATGAAACTTGTCACTAAACATTTTCCTGGAGAATTTGGTAGTGAGATTCTTGTCCAGAAAGTTGTCAATACAATTTTGCATCAAACAGCCAAGAAGAACCCTGATGACTACACCCCTGTAAATATTGATGGTGCTCATGCCCGAAGAGCTGATGACGTACAACAAGGACAAGACTTGGAATTTCAACTTCCAACCAAAATAATTCTTACTGGGCAAAAAACAAAAACATTGCACAAAGAAGAGCTGAACATGAGTAAAACTGAAAGAACTATTCAGCAAAATATTGTAGAGCATGCACCTGTAATGCAGAAACGAAAAACTGAAAAATTGAAGCAAGTGCAAAAAGGATCAACTAGAACTGCTTCCCCTGGTGCTGTTTCTGAGGGGACATCCTCTGCACCAGCTACCCCTACCAAGACTCCCTATTCCCCAACATCTGCAAAAGAAAAGAAAATACGCATAACGACAAATGATGGCCGACAGGCCATGCTTACCTTGAAGTCCTCAACCACGTTTCTAGAATTACAAGAAAGTATAGCCAGAGAGTTGCATATTCCTCCTCAGTTGCAAAGTATTCGCTTTGGCTTTCCTCCAAAAGAACTTGCGCCACCGAAAGAAGGGCATGAAAATGAACCTGTTCCTTTGCTCCATGGAGATAAAGTAACTGTAGAGATCCTCAAAGGGAAGGAGGATAGTAGCCAGACTTCTTCATTGCACTCAGCCCATGTTGTAAAACATGATGATGTTGCAGTTACTAGTAAAATCTCTTCTAAGGAACTCCAAGAGCAAATTGACAAGGAAATGTACTCGTTGTGTCTTCTAGCAACATTTATGGGTAAGACAAAATGTAATTTCCTTTTTTTAGAGTAAAAAAACTAAAATTCAAATTGTATAAAACTAGTAATGCGTAGAGGATCTAACCAACTCACGTGTATATTTCCTGCTCTGAAAAATAATGAAACCAACTTTTTCTGTTTTTACCTGTAGATAGACCTCTCTTTTGGTTTTGAGAGGTCTTAACACTATCTAAGGTAACAGCTAACCACTCAGTTCTCACCTTATGTATTTTGTGTAATGCTTAGCTTTCATATATGTCATTTTTTCAGTATTCCTTTTAGTCCCTTATGAAGAATTATATTGTTCTGGTGATTAGCAAATGACAGCTTTTGTGTGGCTGGTTTTATAATTGCTTTTTCATTATTTTTTGTGAGTACTTGTCATAAAGCATGCATATGAGGTTTTGAAATGTATTTTGCTTTATTCAGCTCTGCATAATCTTTTGTTTACTAAAAGTGTAACTACTTTAATGCAGAGCAGGGCAAGAGGTGGAATACTTATTGTTTCAGTGCAGTGTGTCTTTGACATAAGTACCTGGTGTTCTGAAAACATGCTGAAATTTGAAAGCAAAGTAGTTTGGCAAGGAATATACATAATATAGATGTGTTGACATAGATTTTAATATATCAAATGTCTTCCTGCAATTCAGCCAGACCTATGGAAGGTCATGAACCTTTTAAACCAAATTAATTGGCAGGGTTACAGATTAAATCAGTGCATTGAAACCTTTTCCATTAGTTTCCAATATGAATGACATTATAAGTATTGCTTAGATCCCTACTTGTGGTCACAAGTTGGATATATTTTTAATTGTTTTGCTGCATCTAAAATATTCTCAGTAACTGCAGAATGGCCTGAAGTTTCCTGAAGACTGTCAGGAGCTGTACCTCTTTTACCGTTTTTACCAACCTGAGTGAATGAAACTAAAAAAAATAGCATTTAAAATAAAACAGAAGTTGCAGGGTGGAATCTTATGAATTGAAACCTAACAGTGCATCCACTTTTAAAAGTGAAACTGTCAAGTTAACCTTTTTAACCAAGAACAAAACATGTCAAACTTTGCTTTCATAAGTGTTCCATAGTTAAAAGAAAAATTGTATCCCCGCAAAGGTAACCCCATCCTAACACGTTAGAGGTATATCTTTTCTAGTTGTTCTCATCTTGAGTGTGAAATCGGAAGGTGTGCTACAAAGGAAAGTGGGCTCTTGCATGTCAGATGGTTTCTATGGAAAATATTCCAGAGTAGCAGAGGAACTCTACCTTCCTGTAGGTAGAGGAACTTCATTAAAATATTCCCAAACTGGGTCTCTTTTACAGCCTACTGCCATTATAGTTTTTCTCCTCCAGGGAAAGAATAATATGATGAACCTTGGGCTATATACAGAAAAGGATCCAAAGACTTATGGAGCAGTCTGCTCAAAAGATTTCACTTTCATTTCTACTGCTTGCCCCTCCTCCTCACACTTAATTTCTTGTACAGATCTATTCCATTCCCAACAATCTTCTTCTCTTTATTGGATTTTTTTTAAACTTAGCACTTAATAGGCAAGGGGTCGATTCTGTGTACATAAGCTTGCAAAGGAACAGTGGGATTAAGGTCTTTTTCTCAACTCTGTATATTTATAACATTTTTGTTGTGAGAAGAGGCATGTGATCTCTGCTGGTGCAAATTCACATTTTGGGAACTGTAAAACCAAGCATCTGTGATGATATCTTCTAAATAGATAATCTGCCCAATAATCTTACAGAAACCTCTGGAAGAGCATGACATTGTGAATGGATTAATGGAATTCACTTACCCAAAAATTTAAACATTGCATCAATATACAGCCTCATGCTACATAATTTAAAACTAAACCTTATTACATGAGGAATAACCTCTGGACTATAATGTATGTTAAATAGAAAACTATGTTTAGATAGATTTTTTTCCTCAAAAGCATGTTATTGTTTGGAAAAAAATCCAATTTAAAATTTAAAAATTCTGTCTGTCTGTCTGTCTGTCTGTCTAAATCATTGATTTTTATCCACCCTGGTCTTATGCGCTCCCCCTTCCCCCACATGGGAAGAGGACAGCAAAAGTTTCTGCTTCTGAATCAACTACAGTTCTCTGCTCTGTCTATACTTGGGGAACTGTGGCTTGTTGTGACCATGATTAAGAAAACACAGAATGGCAAACCTCTCTTTAGTCTAGTTTCTTAAGTAACTACAGTTAGAGCAAATTATAAGAATTTGAATGTAATAGGGAATTGTGATTCTATGACAAAAGTTGTCTTCTTGCAAACATAGGAGTAGGCAAGGAAGTGTGTAAAATCCCACATTCCTTCAGACTTTATCTTGTAATTAAATATTTATTTAGTTTGTAACCCACCTTTCTACCAAGAAAACAAAACTCCATGTGGCTTGCAATTTTAGAAGTAAATATAAAAGCATACAGTAAACATTGGTTAAAGCAGTAATCAAATGCACACATGAAAATGTAAAAATCTACCTGTACTCTACAGTTAGCACCTGAGGCCCTCCTTTGAGGGAGGTTTGATGGGTGGCAACAAGAGATAGAGCCTTCCCAGTGGTAACCCTCAGACTATAAAGTAACTTCCCATTGAAAACTGCCTGACAGCAACACTGTCATCTTTTTGGGGCTAGGTTGAGTGCTCTGTTAGGCATTTAATTGTATATAATAAGATTTTAATAGCAGTTCTGTCGGGTTGTGGTATCTTTCTGTCATGGAAGGCTGGCTTATATACTATGATTTACAAAAAACTGACTGTCGTTGATTAAGAGGTGTTTCCAGACTTTTGATTTTCTTAATGATTATGATCAAAATTGTTGAGCATTCAACCAGGTATCCAGATCTCTCCCACTTTTAGAGAAATGTTCACTGAATTCTGTTTTGATGCCATGGTACAATGTATGAAGTGGCCCTCAAGTCCCCAAAAGAATTAAAAGGAAATGTAACTTAGACTTAGTGCTCTTTTATTTATTTCTTCCACTGTAATGTGGTATAAGACTTGCAGATCTCTTTTTGTGAAGAAAAGCACGAATTTATCTTCCTTTGTTATAAGTAGAAGCACATAAGATATACATTAAGCACTTTTACAATGTTATCTTTGTAATATTTGGCATGAGTTCCAGTTTAATTATGAATAAGAAAACATGATTCATAGCAAAATTGAGATTGAGACAAATCAATGCCATGCTCTTGATTATCAATAGGAAGAGTGGGTTATTATCTATAAAGTAACTTTAGTGTGCATAGCCCTTCAAAGATCAAGAGGAGCTGTCCCTGCTCCAAAGACCTTGCAGGTGAATCATTCATTCTTCCATGATGCTAGTGAAAGGATTTTTACCAACTTAGAGCAGTCACTCACAGGTGTCAGACGTTAAATAAAATTGGACTGCTTGTGGTAAGTTATTCATTGGTATAAACAGATATTAAACAGGCGATGGTGACACACGCATTGGTGACTTCCCAACTTGACTTCTGTAATGCGCTCTACTTGGGGCTGCCCTTGAAGACGGTCCAGATACTTCAGTTGGTTCAAAATAGAGCTGCCAGGCCGCTGACGGGGGACTGGGCGTTATGTTCACATGACTCCAGTTATCCGTCAGCTTTACTGGCTCCCCATTGAAGTCCGGGCCCAATTCAAGGTGTTGGTTATGACCTATAAAGCCCTCAACGGCTTGGGTCCTTGTTACCTGAAGGAGCGCTTACGTCCATAGATGCCCGCCCGCCCCTTGAGATCAGCGGGAGAGGCCCTTCTCCGGGAACCCCCCGTGAAGGATATTAGGAGGGTAAGTACTCGGAGGAGGGCTTTCTCTGCAATGGCGCCCAATCTATGGAATGTGCTCCACAGAGGGGTCCGCCTGGCGCCGTCGTTATTCATTTTTCGGCGCCAGGCGAAGACCTTTTTATTCAAACGCTATTTTAATTGTTAATATTCATTTTATTTTTTCGGGCCAGGTCGACTCATATTATATTGTTTTATTCTGTCCTTATTTATTATTGTGAGCAGCCCTGAGGCTTCGGCGAATGGGGCGGCATAGAAGCCTGCTAAATTAATTAATTAATTAATTAGTGGTAATATATGAGCAAGATTAGCATCACTGTGATATACTATAATATTGTAAAGTTGTCTGAGGGGTGCCGTGGATATTAATCATTGAAGGTCTTCCCAACCACTTACTTTTGTGGATGGAGTTTGTGCTAGGGCACAGAGTTGACCCTGAGCCTGATCCCTGCTCAGGCTGATTCATACAGAATCTAGTAATTCTAATCTTTCTATCTGCATAGCTGCTCATGATTTTACTTAAATCCTGCCCTTTTCTTCAGTGGTCTCCAAGGCAGATCACAAACAAAATTAAAACAATGCAACACTAGCAGTTTCCTGGATATTAAACTGTTACAAAGACCGCATGATCCAGACTTCTGTAGAAGATGGTAGAACCTAAGGATCTATTTAAAGTTCTCTTCTTGGTCATTCTAGAGAATAACAGGATGTGTGGAGTTTGATCATTACCTAGGAAGTGGCTTTTATATTTATATATAGGAATTCATATTTTGCTATTTTACTATTGTAAAGATCCTTTTATTTCTGTTCCACAGGAGAAGATGTGTGGTCTTATGCAAAGGGACTTCCTCACTTGTTCCAGCAGGGTGGTGTGTTCTACAATATAATGAAGAAAACAATGGGTATAACTTCTAACTCTGTGCTAATATATTTTTTCCAATGTGCAGCAGCATTTTTATTCTTGTTTTTTTTTTTGTTTGTTTTTGGTATGAGAAATAGGTATGAGAAATTGGCTATATATACTATTATCATGGATTTCTACAGAAAATAATAATAATTGTTATTAGTTATATGTGATAGAGAGCATATTGCTTCCTAAAGGAAGTTGACATTGTGTGACGAAACGTAAGAGGTTCCAAAACAATAGTACTGATATCACAGGCTACTTTGAATTGTTTTTGTTGGCATATTGAACTAGAATATATGCACAGCCAATTTCTTGGTGGAAAAAATCATTCTGAATAATTAGCTAATTTCAGTAATAGAAGAGAAATGGGATACAGTTGAATGTGAAATATAGTTAAACTTTAAACAATAAAAGAAGGCGAGCTTTGTGTACTGGTCTGGTTGGGCACTAGGACTTTAGTCTGCCACCTTTTTCCTGCTGCTCCTGATGAAGGTCAGGGTATTCTCTAGAGTAACATACAATATGGCATGAAAGCTGAAGCTGGAAGGTAAATTTGGCTGCTTCTCTGGGCCTCTTTGGCTTGTGTTCCATAGATTTGTAAGTGTAGTTGAAGAACCAAGCAGACTCCATAGAGCTTGATGCTTGCAAGGGTAAATATTGATTTAGTAGCAAAACAAAATGAGCTTGTAATACATTTATTTCATTGCCATATACAAAGCCTGTCAGTGTGGAAGAGAGATGTCTCCTATCTTACTTAACCATACATAAGAATATAATACTATGATAGTAACTTTGCCATGTTGCTTGTATAAATGTTTACCTGAACGCCCTGAGACTTTGTAACATTTTTATTCTCAGCATGTTGAATGTAATACACACTAAGTGTACACTTCAGCCTTTGAGGACATTTTGTTTAGTTTTCTGATGTAGGGCTGCTTAAAATCCCCTTTGTTTTTTCCGGAAAGCTTCCCAGTCTACTTTTAACATGCTACAATTCCTCTGTAAATGATTTTAATGACTTTTGAAGATTTGTATAAGGAGTAGCATTACATTTTCTTCTAAAAAGCTTCATCTTAAGATTTGTGGATTGATAACTAGTTTCTCTCTGTTCGCAGAAAGCTTTCATCTGTGGAAAGTGGTTAGACACTATCTTCAGCAGATTGCCCCTCTTCCCTGCTGCCCTGAAATTTGCTCTATAAGGTTGGAGGATCCTCCGGAGCAGATTTGGTGGGCATGAGGAAGGGAGGTTCGCTTAAAAATATGCCTAGCCCATGCAACTGTTTGATAGTTTCAATTTGTGGAAGGAAACCAGTTGAATCCCTTTGAAAACTCTTTATTTTTGTAGCACTTCTTCTCCAGCAAAGTCAGAGTGGTAGTTTAGCCTCATAACAATCCCATGGATAAGGGTTGAGAAATAGTATGTCCAAAGCCACCTAGTTTGCTTCAATGTAAATCTTATATGCAACTTGAACAGCATCCATTGGACCACACTTTTACCTCCATACAAGAATAATTATTTTTGCAGAGGTTTTTAATTATGTTTATTTGATTCACAGCCTGGTTTTCTGTCAAAAATATAACTCAAAATAATACAAATAAATAATAATACCAAAATTATCAATAATGTGTATAGGTAAATTACATATAGAAATCCCAAGCACATCAGTAAAATGCAGTTATAAAAGAACAGAATTATCATTTATTTCATTTGTATCCTGCAGTTCTACCAAAAAGACACTTAGGACATCACTCATGGTATCCTTATAATTTGTGGAATGTTCATGTTGCAAAAGCAAATGAAGTCATTGCTTGTGTACTTATTGGCAATCAGAAGCCCAGTTTTCTATTGATTGGACCAATGATCAGGCCCAACTAAAAACTAAGTAAACTATTTGTTTTTGGTTCAGTGCAGAAAATGTACATGCATTTTCAACAAGTTGGTAGTTACACAATTTAACACGATTTGCATAGTGACTAGTGTGTGTGCTTATTGCACATACCCAGCTGCAACTTTGGGGCTGCACTTCTGTACTCATTGAGTTGAGTGAGGTTTATTTCTCAGTAGAAATGCATAGGATTGCATGAGTACTCTTCCTTATGCACTTTCAGAAACAATTGCTTTTGTGAAACTGTTCTTGTGTATTCCACCTTGCCTCCAATTTATCACTGTGTTTTCTGTACTTAAGTTTAGATTTTTTTAAAAAGCCAATCTTTGTTTTGCATCTTTTTCTTACTTTTACTGAATGGTGAAAAGGATTGCCTTGCCTTTGGGAAAAAAAACTTGATGATCATTGTGGTTTGTAAATTTATACTGACAGCTGGTTCCTGTCACCAGTATAAAATCTGAAAATTCATTAAAATAAGTTAATTGTATTCTATGCCCACTAATTTCCATTTCATTTTAGAACTGGCAAAAGCACATTGGAGAACAGCTCTGCTGCTATCTGGTATTCTACTTTCTTGCTGCTCCCAGGTTCAGAAGCTTTGGCAACCCTTATATACCCAGATGACTTGCATAATATCTTTTTCATTAAAATTGAAATACAGAAAAGTACTATAGGGAACCTTCTTCTAGTACTTTTGAGTGAATTGAATCCAGTGATTGTACTCCTGAGCAAACTGGTCTCTGTCTCTGTGAACTGCAGTGAAAGAAGAAAATGCCCTAACATAGGCAGAATCTTGTCTGAGGCATTTGTAAATGTAAAGGATAAATTCTTTAGAACTCCAAAAATAGTGCAATAGTGCTCAGTATTTCTGCAACCTACACAGTGTTGGAAGACAGTTGTGGGGAAGAGGAGGGTGGGGAAATTGATTTATTAGATCCCCTAATCTAGTACCTTGGAGGTTACCCTTCCCTTGGTGCACTATATGGAGAAGTCTACATAAAGAAAAAAGAAAAATGCACACACCTTCCCTTTCTTAATCTTCAGTAATGTCACCTAATTTCCCTTCCTACTACTGTATTGCAGTAAAACACTCTGGTTATTGCTGGGATTCAGACCCCACCTGACTCCTTCAAAAGTACATAGGGCAATTTTTTGGATAATGAGAAAGGAGTATGTTCTTTTTCTTCTCTTCACCCACTCCTTAAAACTCTTATCCTGTGAGCCCAAGACACTGCTACAAAGCTGGAATCTTGAACAAATTTTGTTTTACCTAACATAAAATACAAAATATAGCAAATGATCTGTAAAACTAAACCATAAACATAGAAATTATAATAAAACTTAATCTTAAATTATCAAAACAACATAACACCACAGTCAGACCCAAAAGAAGCAATAATAGTGTGTATTATTTATTGTTAAGCAAATTCAAAAATTATCTGGGACGGTACTGTTTTGACCTTGTTTAATGAAAATAGGGAAGGTTTTTTAGCCTACAGGCTACCTGTCCTTGTTTAACACATGAACTTTTCATTAGGAAGCTGTTTTATAATGTTGATGCTTCTCTTTGATAGCAACGACTATTCAGTTGAATCCTTACACAGTAAATTCTGTGTAACAGTCCTGGATGAAAGATGACACTTGCTGTAGGAAACAAACACTATCCTATGATATCTCACATAGGGTAATACACTGCAAAGTGGCATTTCTTGAACCCTTTTTTACCTTTTATACAGGCCATATAGATACTTAGCTATAGAACTCCAAATGTCTCTTTAAATATTAAGAAATCTTATGTTGGTGCTGATCAGAGGCATATGTGCCTACCTACTCCTAAATAAAGCTAACAAATGATCTGTTTTGAATATATTTTCCTTTATCTTCTCTTACAACATAGGAACATACAAAATTTCATGCAACTCTCATTATTCTAATTTTAAACACTGCTTTTCTTATAAGTTTGCTATAAATCAGAAAACTAAGTAACAGTGATTGAATGTAGTGTTCTGACATAGCAAAACTGACCTGTTCAGATTGACCTGTTCAATTGACCCATTCAATTTCACTTGAATAGCTATATTATGATTTTTCTGTAGCCTTTTGTTGAAGTTAACAAGAATTTCTAAATTGTAAAGTAATTTGTTCTGCAGAGAAAAGCAATAGAAGTAGCATAATTCTTTAAATTACTCCATTCACTACCCAAAGAGGCATGCCTGTCCACAAAGAATAACTTTGTTCTGGCAGGGATTGTGTTTGCCTTTCTAGAGCTTAACTTCTGATGTGGCAGCTATGTGTTTAATATAAGAAATGCATTTGTATATACTAGTTATGATGGCTGTATGAATATTCCAGGTCCAGAGGCAGTGTGTCGTTGAATACCAGTTGTCTAGGGCAGCAACAGAAGAGGTCTGCTCCCTTGGGGTCCAGCTGATGTGCTTCCAAAAGACATCTGGTTGGCCACTGAGGAAGTAATGCTGGGTTGTGTGGGCCTTGGGTCTTCAGCAAAGCTGCTTATATGTTCCTGTTCTTTTTCTTTATATGTTAGAGTTGTGTTGAATGTGTTTATAATATGAAGATAATATTTTTGGTAATTGCTTCACAGATGTTAAACAGTGCATAAACTGCACATTTCTTACTTTTTATAGGTCTGGCTGATGGTGAACACTGTACATTTCCACACTTGCCTGGTAAGACCTTTGTATACAATGCAGCAGAAGACAGACTGGAACTTTGTGTGGATGCTGCTGGGCATTTCCCTGTGGGTTCAGATGTTGAAGACCTGGTTAAGGAGGCATTAAACCAAGTGCGAGCAGAGGCTTCTTCAAGAAGCAGGGAAGCAAGTCCTTCACATGGACTCCTAAAATTAGGTAGTGGTGGTGTAGTTAAAAAGAAGTCAGAGCAACTTCACAATATAACTGTGTTTCAAGGAAAAGGCCATTCTTTAGGGACTGCAGCTGGAAGTCAGCAGCTTCATCAAAGAGCTAGGGAAGTCCCTCTTACAAGAAAACAAAGCACAGGCACAGACTTTAGTCCCAGTTCTGCTAAATCTGAGCCTTCTGTGTACACAAGTGATTCTGGAAACAGTGAGCTTATACGGATAGCTCCTGGAGTAGGAACAATGAGAGATAGCAGGCAGCTTGATCCTAATTTGATTGAGGCACAGCGAAAAAAATTGCAGGAAATGGTTTCTTCAATTCAAGCTTCAATGGACAGACACCTGCGGGATCAGAATACTGAGCAGTTGGCAGCAAATGATTTCTCTCAAAGGAAATTGGATGTAGCAAGTTCATCCATTAAAACAAGGAGCCCTCAGACTGGTTTGTCTGAATCATTTACTTTATCAAGTGGTAGTGGACATCTGAATACAGAAACAACTGATAGTAACATGTCAAATGCAGTGGGAACAGCTTTCTCCACAAGATCAAAAGTGCAAAAAGGAAATTCTGTTGAAGAACCAGAAGACATGGATAGTCAAGATGCAGAGATCACTAATACAACTGAGCCAATGGATCATTCATGAATATTAACAGCAGATAAAGATACAAGAGATTATTGTGCAAATGTAATGTTTGTTGGCTGGGCCACATAAATTTAGTCCTTGAATCTTGTATGTTTCAAAGATTATATCTTACTCATTGCATGATAACAAGTGTGTGATAGACAATAGCTTTTAATATGCCATTCTGCTGCCCAGGTTAGCTCTCAGTTACCTGTAAATTAGTTATTAGGATATGCACTGAGATGAATATCTGCTGTAGAGGTGGGTTTTTGTGAGGGTGGGGGTGGGGGTGGAGGAGTAATTTGAATTCCATTAAGTCTTAATCTTCCAGACCATGTGAAAACATCACGTTTTTCAGATTAATATGCGAAGATTAAACCTGACAAATACAGTGTGTTTTGCCAGGTATTGTTCCACTCAGAATTAAAGCATTCAGAGACATTCCCTAATACTTGAAGACTCGTATTCATTTAGATTTGCAGGTTTCTCAAAATACCCAAGTATATTTTCTGAGATCTCTTTAAAGTTATAAACTTAAGGGAATGGCAGGAGAATGAGCTATACACTATAAGATGAAGTTAATGCAGGGTGATGTAGTCATGCATGGCAGTCTCAGCCAGCACAGCTTTTTCATTGCTCAATTGGCAAGTGGTTGGGTGCATGTTAAGTTTTCAACTGGTATGGTACCATGGTGTACTTTTACATTGCCAAGACAGTAGTAGACAAGTATTTTAAGGAGCTACAGCAGATTAATAAATTGTTTTTGTGCTGGAAGATTTTGATAAGTAATTGTTGGTCATCTGTGCTGGCTGTAAACATTTTCTGAGCATGGTGAATTAATGGAAGTTTCATCAGAGGCTTCTCAGTGGCATAAAGTTCCTTTTAAATTCCATGGAAATGAGAAATAACTAGTGTTCAAGGTGCCACTTTGATTAAACCATCATCCACTTAAGCAGGATGTTCATCAGTTCTTCAGTGCTAATTTTTAAGAAGCAGCCATTGTGTTTACTCCAGATACAGATAGAATGTTTATCTTGATACTAATGTTGCACTTTTGCCTCTTTGCATATTTTATGTGCATTATTACTGCTTCATCTGATAAATAAACTTGAAAGGGTGAAAGATTTACATTACAGAAGAAATATAGAATAGAATATTCAAGCACTTAGTTTTTGGAGCAGTGTTTGCCTGGACATGAATTTTACCTGGTCCACAAATACAAGTTTGTTGTATTAATGTTTGTATTCAAAAACATGCTTACACTTTCTGCACTTATAATCATTCAAGAAAACTCCAAGCAATGCTACAATTGAATATCCCAATTAAGGGAAGCTTTATTTTTTTACACAGGTAATTAACTGAAGGTACAGCTGCTTCAGTTCATTCAAGTATATTAATCCATTTGAACACTGTTTTTGTTTCTCTCATACAGGGAACACATTTTATCATTTAGTACACAGCTTATATATAAAACATACAAAAATACTTTCATGAATAAATTAGTTTAAATACACAATCTTGCTATTTTTGTTGTTTAATTTGATCAAACATGGGTTACATATGATTTTTTAGACTTGATCACACTGAGAACACGGTGCTTGCTGCTCTGTACAGAAAGCCACTGTAACTTCTAGTAAATACACAACTAAGTTTATGGTCATTACCCAAAGAAGCTGTTGATGCATCCATAAAGGATTGTGCTTGGCTAGGAGAACTTTTTGGCACAGGAATACTTTTGTCAGATTTCATACCTAGCTTGTAATATGGTTGGTGTGATGAAAGTGGCTGTGTTTTCTCTGACAGAGGCATTTGCAGTGGATATCTAAATTATTTTGAAAACTGGTTTAACTACTGTAGCTTCCATTAAATAACTCTCAAAATAGCAGTACTATAGGTATGAGGTAAATTCTTTATTGTTGACTTATAGCAACTTCACAGAACTACAATTGCCAAAATTCTTCTGTGGAGAACCAAGGCATTTTAGAGCTGGCTTAAACTTTTATCATGAATATACTGCCTGATGGCAGCATTTTATAACAAAAATATGATAGTGGTTCTGTGTACTATAGAAAAAAGGGTATCAATATAATCTACTCAAGATTCTCACATACATCAGCAAGAACTGTGAAGCTGGAGCATTATGGATGAATAATTTAAGCTGGTTTTCTTGACTAGTAGCTTATACTTTTCCTCTCTCTTGTAGAACTTTGCCTGCATGATGTTTTGAGCCTTTTCTCCTAGCCAGGAAACTACAGTACCAGTTATTTCACTTTTGTATCCTCTCTTTTGCATGTTTTAACATGTGCAAAAGAGAGGATACAAAAGTGAAAGACTTTCACAGTGCTTATTTCTGAAATGAAAATATTCTATGCTTAGAAGATGTATGAAAATCTTGTTTTTGTGAGTGTTTGGGAAAAGTTGAATCTAAAATCTAAAGTTAAATATTTTATGATTGTGCACTCAGTATGTAGCTGATCCCCATCAAAGTTTTGAGACTGAAATCCACAAATAAATGCTGATTTCCTATTGACCTCAATAGCATTTACTTGCAATTTAGTTGCTGAATTTAGTTCGGTTAAGCACTGATTGCAAGATTGCCACTTTATTGAGAGTCCTATTTAGTAAATTTATGAAAAATGTTTAACCTGGTTAGCAGAGTATTAAGAATTTCTGGAGTGTCTTTCCTTTGTCTATTATTTGCTAGTCATGTGTGCACGCACATGCATGCACACATTTAGTTTAATCACTGAAGCCCATGATTTATCAAATCAAAGACTGTTTATGAAATTAAAGACAAACATGCTTGACCTTGAACAGCAAAGCCATTTCTTGTATATATAGTAAAATGAATGGGAAAGAGGTCTTCCATAGTAGCAGCTTTTGATATACCAGTTTGCTGAGGAGATCTCAGATCCTGTAGAATCAGAGGAGAAAACAATTTAAAGTGCATTTTAGAAATTGTTTAAATAAAGCATTCTCTTGGCTTTCCATTTAGATCTAAAAGTGTTTTACGGTAGATGATGTACCCTGATTACAGTACTGTCCTTTTTTAAAAATCTGGAAATTCAACTTCATTACAATTTTTGAAAACAAACTTATAGTTGTTCCACAGCTATAAAATGGCTCACTCATTCAATTTAACTTTTGAATGTCTGTTCCTTTTACTACACAGATACAAAATAAAGTGACAACGTTTATGTTTTTTTTTTTTTAAGGAACAGGGTGATCCTTTATATTGCATTTCTCTTTTATCTTTAAAGATACTACACAGTTGAAATGAGCTGTTTAAGGGATAGTGTTTAGGATTTACTGTGTACATATGCTAACAATGCTATAGAAAAGACTTTTTTGAAAACCAACATGATTGGCTTTTCTACTGAAGAGATGAATTGGGATATGATAGTCTAGCGGGCTTTGGTGAGTGCTCAACTATGTGCACATTCAGCTGAATTAGGTTTTCTATAAGACTAATAGACTAATCTGTGAATCATCCCATATTCTAATTGCTTCTAGAGGAACTTCATTACTGCTTAGAATCTTAATCTAAGCTACCTTTTCTTTGGATCCTTTTGACTTGCTAGATGTCACTCAGAATTTGGCAGACTCAGTAAAGGAATTGACACTATATTCCAGCAAAGGCTTCATTCAGTATTTTCTTCTGCATATCCTACAGTACCTTAAATTTTAAGGTGTTGCATATAAAATTCCTTATGGCACCATTCCTGTTTTGCCCCTATGATTGTAATAAAGTTAAAAGTGAATGGTAATTGATATTTTTAGATTTTATTTCAATGAGGATTATTGCCAGGAAGGGAAATAGTGCACTTTTGAAAATAATTGATTTAAAAAATGTATAAATAAGCATTAGTACTGTATATATTTAGGAAACCTTTTAAACAGCAAGTGCTTTACATATTGAATTAAAGTAGAATAGCAATGATACCATGTTCACAGTGCTGGCCATTCAGCACATTTTCATTTTATTTGTGATTGCTGTACTAATTTGTTTTTTTATCTGTAATGTAACAATAGTGTATTATAACAGTGTACTATATTACACTTTACTGTACAGTATTTGGATTTTTCTTTTATTGCAATATTAAATATATAAGCTAAACAACATTTTTCTAATTTCTGTACCAAGTTTACTACTACTAGAACTGTGGGTGTAGCAGCCATCTCTCTTCATGCGTTTTGTTCATGCTACCTGCTCTGTATGGCTGGAGAGCAGCAGTGTACCACTAGTACCTTCCAGTACAAAACTGCTAACTTTTACTAGGGTGTTTCCAGACCATTCTACTAGTGTACCAGCGCGCGCGCGCGCGCGCGCACACACACACACACACACACGTTCCTGTTCTATATTCAAAATATTCTGAGCCGAAACTAGAAACTTTCAGCATGAGTTTATTTGGGTAACAGGTTTTAATCATATAATGCAGTCTTAACTGTAGCAAACAGCCCCACAAATAGCTGCCATTCCTCGGCAATAGATAGCTTGGCTATCGCTGATAAAAGCAAGTATCTTAGTTACAGCACAAACTTGCTAATACATAGTGTTGAAAAACAACATGAAGAGTTCTTTCACCCTGGTGGGTTTGTCTTTGATTTGGATTTTTAAATACTTTATCAAAGATATACTTGATAAAGCTGTCTTAACATGGTGCAGCATGGTTTGAACCTACAAGTAGAACAATGAGTTATGAAATGATCATAAGATTGCTTGAGGAATTGTCTCCATTAGATAGGAGTTTGGTTGTTTTCCAAATACAGTTTAGATGCTATTTAATTGAGGGTGTGAAGGTGGGAAGAATTAATTGTAAATCCCCATGAAACACATCGCATAAGGATGTACCTGCACTAATGGCTTAAATCCAACATACTATTAGTGGAAGAAAATGTAGAGCTCCATTGCCTTACTTGTTGTATGAGCACTTACATACTGCTGTGTAAACCTAAGATCTGCAAGTTGTTGCACCAATAGAGCTGGTGGAACCAGAGCAATAGAACTGGAACCAGTTGCCTAGAGAAATCATGAACTCCCCCACACAAGAAACATTCAGAAAGAAACTAGACAGTCATCTGAGTGTGATGGCGTAAATTGGTGACCTGCAACAGCAGGGATTTGGACGCAATGGCCTTATTTGCCCCTTCTGACCCTACTGTTCTATAAATCTAGTTGGACTATTCCCATTCCCATAGTTCAGAAAGTGGCTTTTACTACCACATCATTCACACTAGTATGTAGACTGACACTGACGTATATACTCCAATGTGTGCTACTTCAGGAAACCTGAGCTCATCTTAAAATTTCTTTTAACTTAACCATTTGTGAACCATTTGTGCCTTTATTACAGTTGTGCATTTCCAACTTACTCTTTGTTATATAAAAGTAAGAGGAATGAAAACTATTCTTCAATAGACTGAGTTTGCATCTTACTGTAGTAAATTGTGGGTTAATTAATGAAATCAATGATTTAGTTAACCCATGATTGTGGGGACATGTGCTTCATGCAAACTACTTCCAGTCTGCATAAACAACCAATTTACAGGTTGTTAACAAAAAGTCTGAAACGTGAGAACTCTGGATTGCTTATGGGTTAAACATTTCAGGGTTAACCTACACCTACCTGTTAAACAATCCAGAATTAACCTGATTCATAAAAAATCCTCAATATCCAGGGTTGAGTGCCACACTAACACTCTACGAATGGGTTGTCAATAGGTTGTTTATGTACACAAGAAGCATATGTATTAGATAATGTTGAAAAAAATCACAAATTTCTCATTCAGATTCTTAGGAATGCTCAAGAATTCCTTGTTCAACAGCAAGAAGAAAAACTTTTAGCTGAAGCAAGAGAGAATAAAGTAAATTTGGGGAAGGGTGAATAGGGGATTCATTTGTAACGATTTCTGATTGGTGTTGGTGCTGTTGGTAGCAAAATAAGGTCAGTCACTATTTAACTTAAACTAGACTTAACATTATTTCCCTGTATGATACTACTTCTGCACTGAAATGATTACAGTACCAGTAGCGCAATGGAGCCAGGATTCCCAGGAACGCTCTGCCGTCATTTTTTGACTCTTACCAGGGTGCTGACGTCACCAACCCTTCCACTTCCTTATTTTCTCTGCGCTTAACTGCAATCTTCACAATAGCAAGTGGGAGAAGGAGTTTTCCAGCTGAAATATATATTTTAAGAACATCTATATTGCACCGTCTTGTGATGTAAGTATGTTAAGGTGGCCTGCTACTGAATGGAAAGTTAATACCCAATAAGCGTTAAGGAAAACCCTGAACTTTATAGAAATGAAAACGGCTAGAATTGGATTGTTGATATGGATCAATACAGCCTCCTGCATTTTTGGTTTTTGTTGGCATGGTTATGGGGACTGTCATGATGAGAGGAAACACTTCAAAATGTATCGCTGCACTACTGTGCAGTATAAATTCTCTTATCCCCCTCTGTGTGCATACTTGAAGAAGAATACTTTGCAAAGATAGTTGTGTTCTTTGTTGCCAGGAAGCTTTACATCAGTTTTCACAATGCAGATTTTAGACTGCTTTCTCTTGCTTGGGATATATTTAAAAACAGCATTATATTACAAGGTTGCAAGGCGTTTCCTTTAGCAGATGAATACGTTAATAATGAAATGCATTTTTGTGAATAACGGTTTTTTAATAAAAATTTTCCGACATGCCTCCCAAATTACGTCGCTGCAATAGAATACATAAGCATTCGATTTTGATCCAACGTTAAGTTGCCTGCTGTTGAGGCATTAATTCTTGGAACCTAGGAACCGAAACCCTAGGAGCGTTTATATTATAAGCACTTACCAGGAACCTCAGTGGAACTTGTTTCGGAGTTGACGTGCATAGGATTATGCTTTTAGGCCGCAATTCTCTGCACGCTTGCTGGAAGCAAGTCCAGTCGACCTCAAGTGGGATTTCAATAAATATGCATACGATCGAGGCGAAAGTGTTAACAGGTGAGGCTTTTTCACGTGGCGTCGTAACACTCCTACTTACTGACGAGGCAGTTTAAATGACAAATGTTCACAGAAATCTCCAGTAACTGAAATGACATTTTCGTACTATAGAGCACCAGTTAATACTCCTGTTAATGCTATAGGAACTGTTGTCCTAGGAACTAGACTAACATTCCGTTTTGCTCTTCGTTTAAAATAATAAATTAAATATACACCTGCAGACTAAATATTCTTGTTAAGGGAAAGATCGTACCATTCCTGAGACGATGATAATACTGAAAAATTTCCTTTTTTCTTGATGCATCTTATTTTCCACGTCTTCGTAGAGTCTTTGTATACTGAAAATAGAAGATTTCACTCGGCGTCCCTTCGATAGCTCAGCTGGTAGAGCGGAGGACTGTAGAAGCATATCTGACATAGAAATCCTTAGGTCGCTGGTTCGATTCCGGCTCGAAGGAGACTTATTTTATTTCTGAAAGTTTCACAATAAGAATATGCTTGAGTCACGTATTTCAAATTTTCGGTACATGCATAGTATTCTTATTTATGTATTCCTTTCCCAAGAAGATGCAAGTCGAAGGTGCACCGACCTGTACATACGATAAGCAGGGTGTGAGTCTATTTGAGAGACGAAAGGATGTATTTTTTCTTTCTTTTTAACATTTGGAAAATGGGAAGAAAAAGGTATTAAAGACCGAAACAACGACAAGAGCAAATCGTATTTTGAGTGTTTATAGCTAGACTTCTGCTGCGGGCATTAAAAGCACTGCACAAAAACGAGACAATTTGGTTTCTCACAACCACCGTGTGAGGAAAAGACTCTCTTTCCCAACACGCCTTGCACTTTAGCCCTTGGCTCCTCCTCCTTCACTGACCTCTACGATATCCCGCCACCTTTCTTCCCTTACTGGCCGTTCCTCTTCCTCCCTCGCCCCAGCCCCCCTGTTTGGTCGCGTGCTTTCTGGAGCAGCCAATGGGGTGGCAGTCCGCGTGCGCAGATTCAAACGGTGGCTCTGGAAAGAGGCTGGGCGCGAGATTCGGCGGCAGGGACAAAAAAGCCAACAAGGGCGGCAGCGGCCGGAGAAGGCGCTGGAGGAGGACGAACACCGAGTGGTGATAGCCGAACAAGGCCATAGGAGGGGGACTTGGCGCCTGCTTTCCGATTCTTTATCCTGCCAGCTTCGGCTTGGTGCCGGGTCATGTCCCCCATGCGGGGGGCGAAGCGTGGCCGGGGCTAAAAGGCAGCTGTCTCACCCACCCATCCCCGGGCTCGTGAGCTCCCTTCGCTGGCGGTGGCATCTCCGCTCCCCTATTCTCGCCTTATGGTGCGCGCGAAGGATGGCGAAGAGGCCGCGCAGGTGAGTGGCCACGTAGAGACTCCCGGTCGCCCACTTCTTGGCATCATCCTCTGTGTCCGGCTATGTCCTTGCCACCGTCTCTTACCGCTAGGGGAGCCTGGCCCAGCCTATCCGCCTGAACACTGGGCTCCTGACAGCCCTCCTGCCATTTCTTCCTATCCACTTGCCTCAGATCTCTGGCGCTGTTTCCACGTGCCCTGACACCCGGATCCTCCGATCCATTTACCTTTGTCTCTTATTGGTGTTAGTAGTGCTGTGCTTACTGGCTTTCCTGTGCTAGTTCCTGGTATTGTGGCGCTACGATTGTCCTTGTTCATCCATTGAAAGAAGGTGGCACTTGCCTCAGTTATTCGGGAATAATTATTTCTCTTCCCGTCCCACTTTTTAGCAGTATTTCAACACTCACATTACTTCCTCTTTGGAAAGGTACCCCATATACTCTCCGTCTTATGTTTTTAATCTTATTTTTGGGGGCTGAGTCACAAAAATACAAAAAGTATCAATCCTGTTGGTAATGCATCTTGCCTTATATTGGCATCCTTATTGGTAATGCAAGAGCTCTTATCTTGACATCCAACCCCCCCCCCCCTTTGACATCCTAGGGGGCTTGTATTTCAGTGTCACTTTATTTCGGAAAGTTTTTTTCCCCTTCTGTAATGATGTTAGTTTGTTGCAGAAAAAAACAACAAAAAGAGGCTTGTTGCATCTGAAAGTAACAGGTTTGTTCTGGTATAAGATTTTACAGATTCTATCCACTTCATCAGATGCATGAAAGAATCTCATACTGGCAGATTTCTGTATGTGCACATATTGTAGTGTAGTCTGCTAGGAAATGTTCTCAGGAGAGTTGGAATGCATAAAATAAAGACACAGATAATTTCATTAGTGATTGCTATTCAGAATGTGTATTATTGCAGGAGTGGTAAAATTGTAATAGAGAGCCAATATACAAATGTAGTGTGAGAAATGGCCTCTCAATGATTTGGGGACAGCAAAGATTAAAGTAATTGTAATTGCCTTTGTGTTTTGATTCACATTTTATATTTTATTGTGCCCTTAGTGCTCCATGCATCTGAGGAAGTTGATAGCATCTGTGAAAGCTTATACCAGAATAAAGGTGTTAATCTTTGTATATTTTCCTGTAGGGAGATGTGAATGTGTCACCTGTGCAGCTGTTACTAAATTAGCTTTGCAACTGTATTTTCTTGCTTGGAAAAATAGGATAGTAATAAGCTAAACAGTGTTTATTTGGGGGTGAGTGACTCAACGTGAATGGAAGGCAATGTTGGAAAGAGTCACCAAGTAGTTTGGCTCACATATAAAATAAGGAAGTAGGATCCAGATCAATTGTGCTCACCTACTTTCAAGAGTAGCAGTTTTAGCCCTCTGAAAATGCAACACATGTCACATGTAACTGTTGTAACTGTAACCCAGAGTATGGGTTACCATTAGGAGTGAATGTTGCAGTATGATTTAAGTGAAAACCTTAGTTTACAACTCAACAACAAACCATAAGCTTTCTTCTGGGGTTGTTAGTGGTTAACAACCCAAAATTAAAACACAGTGCAGTATTTGCACATAATAATAATTCAGCAAGAATTCATAATTCACACCCTTACCCAACCTATGCTCTAGGTGGTTGTTACATGTGGACCATGGCAATGCCTTGCAACTGATTTAACAAGCTATGGTTTGTTTTCTCAATCCCTGGGTCGTATCCTCCACTTGTTTGCCTGCTCCCTCTTTTATCCCAATTTCTTTGCAGTACTGAAGTATTATCATGTCGAACAACTTGGTATTTTGACCATTTCTTCTGTAGCCTGTCAGTGCAACCCATGAACAATTGACTTTTCTGGGCTGATGCCTAATGAAAATGCATGGTTTAAATAGTCAAGATTTCACAACCAAACAACAAACCATGGGTTTGTTTGTGGTTAACAAACTATTGTTTGTTAGTATGACAAGTTGCAAAGTTGGGCATCCAGTATGGATGGATGAAAAACTTTTCTAGAATTGCTGGTGTAACAGTTTACACATAAGAATGGGTCTTACAAAAGTAGTTTTGGTATACAATGTAATGTGACATTGGGTTAGGCTCTGGTAGAAAGTTTTTGCTGACACATTAAGTTAATGATTAGGGATGACTCCTGCAATCACTTTTGTTTGCATTTTGCCATGATGGAAACTTGGTGAACATTTTAACTTTGCCAACTTAGTCTGAATTAGCAAAATGTAGTTTTGTAACTCTTATATACAATTATTTGGGAGTAAGAAAAATCAGCAGATCATATGGATAAGTGCTAGGCCTAATGTTAATAGCTTTTTGAATGCAAATATGGCTATTGTATAATATGGATAGCTGGCCTAGTTCAAATGTAATTTGAAACCATGGTTTGTTTACCTAAAGTACAACTTGGTTTTCTTTCCATCCATAGCTTGCCTGCCATGCTTTTGTTAAGAAGTTGCCAGACCAGGATTTGAAACCAGTTTGAATATGGTTTGCAAAGTACAATTTATGTTTAACAGAGGTTTTCTCTTATGTCCAAAACTGGAAGTCGTATGGAAAAAAATATTCAATAGAACTGTGACTAATTTGAAAAATCTGGTCGAGGCATGTTATTTTCCAGTGAAGAAAAATAATTAAATATGTATCACTGATTGCTATTTGTATAGTAGAGAAACAGTTGAGCAAGCCATTCAGGAGCATGGCATCTTATTAGATGTTGGATGATGTAAAGTATGACTCTGATGTTATAATACAGACCTGATTCACACAAATGTTACTGTCATACAGAATATTTGGACCCTGCATTGTCCTGCAGGGTCACACTCTGTGTTTTCCAGGGAAGTTTCTTTGGAAAGAATGGGATTCCTTCAAGATCAGTTGAGGGAAGATAACTTCTTTCCTGTTCATGGATCTTGTAACAAATGCCACACTGAAGACCACCAGGAAAGGCTCTGGCCATATAGAAAAGATATCCCTCTGACAATTACATTTTTGTCAATAGCTATAGCACCTTATAACTCCTGGAATCTGTCTTCACAAAGAATCATGATCTAAGAGAAGGAGTGGAAACAAGTATTCCTTTTATCATTATTCCAGTATACATGTTTTCTTTATTTCCATTCGTAAGTGCTTGGGGTCTGCAATTTTTACCATAATTTTTAAATTCTGCTCTCTTGTGGATACATGTGTGTCCTGTAGCCAACATTAAGGCTATCAGTGTTGCCAAACCAACAAACTAATCAGGGTTCTGTCATGTACACTAGTACATCTTTTTTTGCTTGTCATTCATATAGTAGAACACTTTATTTTGTGTCTTCTGTGTTCTGATGATGTATATAATTTTTTGTTGTATATATTTTTTAGAAAACATTTTTAATTAGTGGAGGGAAGCAGTCATTCAATACTTCTACAAAGTACTTTTAAAAAGTGTAATTATGTTATTCCATAATTTCCCACTAGCTAATATGGACCGTACTTGTTTCATTATGTTACTGCTCAAGGGGACACAGTCCATTTGTGTAGAAAAATAATGATCCCATAAATGTTGTTGATACCTTTGATTATACTGTAGTAAAGTAATATGATTGACCCTGAGATAACAGGTGCTATTGATTCAGAGATTATGCAAGCTGAAACATTTTGTTTGTATTAAATTTGAAATGCAAAAAAGTTGTAAAAGATGTATGAGAACAACTGAACTTCCCTGAACTATACATGAGATAGACCAGTGTACCCTGCCTGAAATCCTTAGAAAGAAGTATTTGATAGAAATTTGATATCTAAAAGTTACAGTAGAAAAAAATGTGAAATTAGTACTTAGGTCAGTAGGGGGCACAAGTTTCCCAAGGTGGTAGATGACAGCTATACTCTGTTTCATTTCTTTAATGGGTTCCAAGCTGAATGCTTCAAATTAAGAACTGCTTCTTCACAAGGAGGTTTTTAATAGAAAAAAATATAGAATTTTTTATAGGAATTGCTTCTATTAACAAATGTGCATGCTATTTTCTTTATGTATAGATTATACATAGTGTAGGGGGAAATGCCTGAAGCAACCTGAACAATTATTTGGTCATGTGTGGTTTTTATTTTGAGTGCCTCCCCACCCATTTTTGTTTGTTTGCTTGTAAGGGAATAAAACCACATTCATGTACAATTTTTCTTGCACCAAAGTAAAAACCTGATTAGTTACTGGGGAGCTTAATATGTAATAAATAAAATTACTGAAGATAATAGCATTTCCATTTAGCATCCTAATCTACCTCTCTCTCCATCACCTGCCATGGCTGCTTTCTGCTTAAAAATTTTTCAATATTTCAAAGAACAAAATTAAAACAAGCCTTATAACATCTGCCTTACTCTACTTATTTTACAAATTCAGACTTTGATCTGATTCATTTTTGTTACTTCTCATACAATAAGTGGCTTCTAGTTTGTGGGCATCGCTAGACCTTTCTCTTGAAATTTAGATTGAGCTAGAGGACATCTGCTTCTATAAAGTGAGCTGATTTTCAAAAGAAACTGGGTTCCTCATTGTCTTCAAATTATCCTATGCATTAACAGTTAGCTGTCTGAATGTTATTCTGACATTCTTAAACAATAAGAGACATCTCAAGATGTGTTGGAATCTTGAGTTTTGATAAAGCTTAGTTATGTTGCCTGAATCTTACAAAACACAGAAGTTGGCACTCAATACTGAATTCCCAGATTAGTGACCCCAGCCATCCCTTGGTTGACTTAGAAGAAGATGTATTTCAAATATGAATGTATGAGAAATGAGGCAAGACCCTTGCTGGCTGCCTTTTCCAAGAGATCTGCAGTATTAAAATCCTTGAGTGCATGTAGGTCAAGGGTGCAGAACCTTTTTCATTCTGAGAGTCAAATTCTATTTTGGTGAATCTCTTATGGGCCTGCGTTCCTGTGGTGGGCAAGGCTGAAGGCAAAAGTGCTGTGGTCAAAACTTCAAAATACCACCATATTTAAGCTTTAAGATCTTACTGGCAATACCTAAACCTTAGTAGAAGTATTTCAACCATTTTCAAATAAGGGAAAAACTGCACAAAAACTGGGAAACTACCAAACAATCATTGGTTAAGAGGAAGAGGGTGTGGCTTCCTGGGGAACATTTGAAGGCCAGATCTGGCATCCACATCTGAGGTTCTGTGCCCCTGATTAGAAGGTGAACTCTACAAGAAGACACCTACTGGGTCAGATCAAATGTCTGCTTGGTTCAGCATCTTGCTTCCCACAGAAGCCAACTGGATGCCTCTTAGAAGACTATCAACAGTGCATAGAACAAAAACCCTGTGCTACTTGTAGGCACCCCCCCGCCCTGTCACTGGTACTCTGTAGGAGATTGCTGTTGAACTTGAAGATTCTATATATCACAGGTTTGTTGGTTACAGCCTTCCCAAAGACTACAAAAGACTTCTGTGCCCTGAGGGAAGGTAGACTTAAGGAAGGCCAGGCCAGGGAATACATGGACAGACTTTCAGCTGACTGAGAAAACTCATTTTTAGGATTGTTTGTTTTTAAAAAAAAAACCACATTTGTTTAGCATTTAAAAGAATAAATCCTCTTGCGTGTCTTGCCAGAACAGTGGTTTATACATGCAGTAAATAATGTTTGATTTAGCTGGACTTTCTACCAACTGAGGATAATGTATTGAGAGTTCCATAGAAACCAGTTGTCTTCTAAACAAAACCGTTGGTCTTGATCCCTATCTAAAGTACATGTGGTGTCTTGAACTTTATGTAAATGTATTTTCACTGTCAATGTTAACTTCATATTAGTTTGCATTTTGCAGTGAGGAAGATGAGGATGACCTTCATTATGCAGATCATGACTATGAAGTACCACAACAAAAAGGGGCAAAGAAAATCTGTAATCGAGTCAAATGGACACGTGATGAGGTGAGCTTTAAGCAGACTGTGGTTTTTCCTTCATGTTTGCATTTATTGTTTACCAATACACGTTCATTGTTTTAACAGGATGAAAAGCTGAAGAAACTAGTAGAACAGCATGGTACAAGTGACTGGACATTTATTGCAGGTCATCTACAAGTGAGTGGAAAGTATTTTGATGAAACTTTTTCTTATTTAACACACATATGTAAAAGTCAGGCTTATCAGCAGGTTTGAATAGTTTACGAAGTAATACTGTTAGCTTAAACTTCCCCCGCTCCACACCAGCTCTATATGTGCATTCCCAATGCATGGGCCATGTTATCCCAGCAATAAACTGAACCTTAGTTCTTAGTGGAAGGTTTGTGTGAATATTGGAGTTTCACAGAATCTTGAATCACGCTGTGAGAGACTACATACATAATGTTTTAAAATCCTTTTGCAGAATCGTTCTGATTTTCAGTGCCAGCATCGATGGCAGAAAGTCCTAAACCCAGAACTTATTAAAGGCCCCTGGACTAAAGAGGAAGATCAGAGGGTAACTAATTTATATTGAGTAATAATTATGTTTCAGATGACATACCATGGCACATTACTTGATTATTTGATCTTTGATGAACTGGTGTGCTAAGAAGCACTAAATTTATATACAGCTCTCACTTGGAGATTGCCATGTCATGTAAACACAAACAACACAGGTTAAATAACCCTAAAACAAATGCTAAATGAGGATTAAATGAGAGAGGGTTTAACCCTCTCATAACCCACACTCACTGGGTTTAAACAACGTGACACATCCCGAGTGGCAGTTGCATATTCAAAATGATGCCCACATGCACGCTGCTTGGTCTACAACCTAACTATAGAGAGAAGAAGCAGTTGGGCAGTGGCTATGATGGCGAGATGGCACTGGGGCATCCTTTCTTACTCTACCTTGCTGAAGAGGCATTCCCAAGCCGGTGCCCATTTTATGGGCTCTGGGTTGGGGAAGCCTCTCTGGCAAACCAGAACAAGAAAGGGAAGCTGCATTGGGATTCATTGCAGTGCACAGCCTCCAGCTGAACACCACTGCCCAGCTACTTCTCAACCCTGCTGCTGGCTCATTTGTGCAAGTGAGGCGCTTCACTCTAGTGTGTGCAAAGGGGCAGAGGGGGAATCAATTGAGTGGTGCTGCTTCTTTCTGCAGTGCTGTCTAGCAGATTTGCTTCTCTTTTTCCTGTGCATGAATCAGGCAACCCCTCCTGCTTGAGAAGTCCCCTCTGGAACTGGAGAGGAGGGTCCCTGACCAGTTCTTTGTCTTCCCTATGCCTCAGGACATGAGCCTTGTTTATGCAGCAGAGACTGCTTGACAGCCATGGTGAGCCAAACTTGGCATGCAATCACATCTGCTAAAGCAAGGAGCGGCCTTTGTCCCTATAGTGCAGTCTGGGATACTGCCTGGAGAACTGAGAAGGAAGAAAATGGCATCTCTCAGGCACATCCATGTACGACTGTGCATGGTGGAAACTAAGCAGAATTGCTTGTCATGTTGTGTCAACCCAGCCACTGTATATGTCAGAATCACTCTGCAGTTTAGGAGCTTGTAACATGACTGTTCCTTATCACTATATTGCTAGGCTTGAAAAGGTTGCACTGATCTCCAATATTATTCTGCTCTGCCTACCCCTTGTACATATACACTAAATGAATGAACTTAGAATCCTTAGCTTCTTTATCAATAATGTTGCTGCTCCATTTGCATACCAGGTTATTGAACTTGTTCAAAAATATGGCCCAAAGCGCTGGTCTTTGATTGCAAAGCACTTAAAAGGAAGAATAGGGAAGCAATGTCGAGAGAGGTGGCATAATCATCTTAATCCGGAGGTAAAGAAATCTTCATGGACTGAAGAGGAGGACAGAATCATCTATGAAGCTCACAAACGTTTGGGAAACCGGTGGGCTGAAATTGCAAAGCTGCTTCCTGGAAGGTATTTTTTTCCTAAACTAACTATACTGTGTGTGCAAAAAGCAATCTATAAACAGTTCCCTACAGAATTCTGAAGTTTATATCCAAATTACTGGCACCAGCTGATAACATAATTGCATTGATTCAAGGATCATTATACTACATTTTAAATGCTGACTAGTAGATATTAAGAAATACTTTAGAGGTTACTGTGAAAGCAAGCAAAGGGGTAACTGAAGAGCATGATCTAGATAAGTACAAAGGTAGGGGACAGTGGTTCTGAGTATACATAAGAATCCTAAGGAACATACATGCAGTGTTGTCTCAAGCCTCACCTCTGAATTAACCTAAGCAATGAGCCCTACTTTCTGCTATATTTTCTGCTATTAGCTTGTTCTTTTCAATGAGCCATCAATATCTATTGTAAGGTATATACCATAGATCCTGAATATTGCCTTGCTGATTTTACTACTCCTGTACAAGGGAATTGTTTGAGTACGAACTTTTGGCTAAAAGGAAATGTTTGTTTTATTTCTTAAATGACATCTGGCTTTATAAAAATAATTGTTTGTTAATATTGGCAAGTGTCCTTTATCCATCATTAATTATTCCACTCATTAATTTGAGAAAAGTCCAGAATATGTTCCACTTCCAGGAGGTTATATTCAGTGCTGTTATTTCTCTGACAGAAGCAGTTCTGTCAGCAGAACTCAACTGGAGAGTGATTTCCTCTGCCCCTGTGCACCCTTAAAATCTGCTCTGGTGAACTGGGAAATCCATAGAACAGATTTTGGGGCAGTGTAAAGGGCTGCAAGAGGGGGAAAAGAAAGAAAGACATTTCTGTTGCATTAGCAGACAACAATGTGTGCAATGTTATATAGAACCCAGAGTCTTAATTTATACTGCTCATTTTGTATGTTTTTAAAATTTTCAAGTAGTTTTTAAATGCAACAATTTAATAAGTTAAAACAAGACAAACATCTTCTAATCCTTGGATGTTATTCAAAAAACCATGAAACTACTTCTTTGACTCTAAAGGGAATTTTTAATAATAACAACACTACCCATGATATATAGCAAACTGTGTATGAAACAGATGCAAGTTACAGAAGCAATTTTTATATAGCTCTAGAGTCTGCTTCTCGTAAGAGAAAAAATAGCTATATTGGGAATTCTCTGTTAGGAAGTTCCTCCATAGATTCTATCTCTACCCTGCCCCACTTTGGTGCTGTCACAGAACTGTCACATGATTTTAGAGGTATTAGAAATTGCTGCTTTAATTTGGAAAATTCTTATTTATTTATTTAAAATATTTATATGCCGTCCTATTCGCAAAAAAGCCTCAGGACAGCTTACAATATAAAATATAACATAAATAAATTCCCGACCCACACTGGCTGCAGTTAAAAACATAGAAAATACAATATTAAAACTTATTAAAATACCGCTGGAATAAAAAGGTCTTAACCTAGCGCTGAAAAACAAATAACGACGGCGCCAGGCGGACCTCTCTGGGGAGTGCATTCAATAGATATGGCGCCACTGCAGAGAGAGCCCTCCTCTGGGTACTCTGTCTCCTAACATCTTTCACGGAGTGTTCCCAGAGGAGAGCCTCTGCTGCCGATCTCAAGGGGCGGGGGGCAAATGTGGAAGAAGGCGTTCCTTCAGGTATCCGCGTCCCAAGCCATTAAGGGCTTTATAGGTAATAACCAGCACCTTGAATTGAGCCTGGACTTCAGTGTAAAGCCAGTGAAGCTGATAGAGGACTGGGGTTATGTGAGAATAACACCCAGTCACCGTCAGCAACCTGGCTGCTCTGTTTTGCACCATCTGAAGTAGCTGAAGTTGAAGGAAAGCGCTCCTTGCCACCGCAGTCACTTGAGCTTCCAAGGACAGCTCCGGGTCAAGGAGCACTCCCAAGCTGCTCTTATTTTATTTCTTGAAAATAAGGATTTTAAAATTTATTTTCCCCATTGTTTTTTTCTTGATTAATTTGTTTGTTTAGGTTTCCAGATGTATAAACTATGTAACCAGCATAATTTCTATATTTTGGACACAATACAGTTAAGGTTAAATATGCTTGAGTCATTTATTTCAATAAGAGTTAAACACAGAGTTAACCATCTTCTCATGAAATTAATATGACTTTTAAGTTGCTTAACTTTGTCTCAGTTGTGTCCTTTGATTTGTTTAGGACTGACAATTCAATAAAAAATCATTGGAATTCCACTATGAGAAGAAAAGTTGAACAAGAAGGATATTTACAAGATGGAATCAAGACTGAACGACCTTGTTTATCAAAATTGCCACATAAAACATGTGCATCCTCAGACCATCTTCATACTCCAAATCAGTTTTACATACCAGTTCAGGCACATGTAAGTTCCCAAAGCTTTTTGTGTTCCTAAAAAAATATGTTTGTTTAAGTAGAGGGGCACTTTCTTTTGTTAAGGAAATACTACAGAATTTTTTTAAAAATCCAGTTATGTTATTAATTTGGATTTCTTAATTGATTATCTGAGTGTTTTGTATTGTTTCAAAGACATGGTTTGCAACCACAGCAACAAATTCCTGGCATGTTCAACCCAGGAACTGTGGGGATGTGGTGTGCATGAGCTGCACACTTGTCATTTCTGCTATTATTTATCACCTCGTGAATTCCTGGATTATTTATGGGTTCTTGGTTTGTTTTATGACATGCAATCTTGGAACTCTACATTATTCATTAGTTAAACAACCCACAGCTAAACCATCATTTCCTATGGTCATTGTGATCAGTTTTTCAAGAAAGCATGGATAAAACTGAAAATATTTCCTGAAATTGAAAAATAAACACATTTTAGATATCAATGTGTAAAAACAGTTATGATTTATTAGATCCCAGGATACCAGTATGTGTCAACAGAAGGCAACTGCATAGACCATGTCACACCTTCTCCAAACTTCATTCAGGTAACCTCCTGGATATTTCATTTTAAAATTTTCTATAAGGCCATGAAAACTCTCTTTTTCCAAACAACATTCAAATAAGGTCCCTATGCTAAAGTATTTTATTAAAGTTGTACTCCTATAGGACATAATCTACTAAAATCTACATAATCTATTCTGCTCCAGTGCCATTGAAATGAGCAATAACATGTACAGGCTATGTTGCTGAGATTGTGGCACTGGTTGTCAGAGTAATAGCTTCTGTATAGCCTGAAGTGTCTGATCCTGCCTAATCTTGGAAGCTAAGCAGGATTGGCCTGGCTGAAATCTGGATGGGTGTCTTTATGTTGTGAACTGCCCAGAGAGCTTTGACTGCAGGTGATACAGAAATGTACCGCATAATAATTATCATGTAGCAAGCATTTTAAGAACAATTCTAGATAGTCCTCTGCTTGCAAAGTTAGTTTAGAAGATTGATTGCTCTCTTTTGAGGGTGGGAGTGGGTGAGTGATTATGTTCTCTTATGATGAATAGACTTTGCTAGAAATGTACATGTTGAAAAGGAAAAAAAAATGGGAACCTGGTAGAGGAAAGAGTAACAGAATAGGAATTTGTTACTTGTAAGACATACACTGTTAAAAAAAGTCAAGTCTTGCTTTTAGAAAATTCAAAAGGCATGCATTGACATAAATAGAAACCATGGGAAGTATCTTATTGTGCCTGTACATCAGTGGGAGTGACCATCATGCAACAGGGATGTTGCAGTTCTGTTAGAGCTAGAGTTGAGTTTTCAGAAGAGATCCTGTTGACCTGCCCTGATATGGAGGTGATTGCTTCTGTTAATTTCTAGTGCTACTTTTAGAATCACAAAATTGCTGTTGCAGCATCAGTCCCACTATACAAAGGAAAGGGTGGGAATGCAGATGCAGTATAAGTGGTACCTCGGCTCACGAATGCCTTGCTTCACGAACAAATTGGGTCACGAACAAAAATTTCATTAAAATTTTGACTTGGGTCGTGAACTCCGCATTGGGTGGTGACCAAGATCGCAGCCATCTCCCCCCCAGTGATTGTGCCCGTTCCTTCCCCCCACCCCCCCAACGCTCCAGGATGACAGGCGCATGACAGGATGATGAGCGCCTGCAGGGATGACAGGCACATGCAGGGATGACAGGCGCGATCTCGGTCATGCAGGGATGACAGGTGCGATCTCAGTTGTGCTGGGGGCGGGTGGGGAGACGGCTGTGCTTGTGCTTGGGGTGTGGAGGGGAGATGACCACGATCTTTGTTGTTATCACTTTGCTTCACATTTTTCTGATTTAAAAAATGGTCGCAGACTGGATTAACTTTATTTACATTGAACCTTATGAGGAAATTTAACTTGGCTCACAACCAATTTGGGTCACGACCAGAGTCCTGGAATGGATTAAGTTCGTGAGCCAAGGTACCACTGTACTTCGAAACCATCTGTGTTTAGTAATGTGATGTATCCAGTTCACTTAAATGATATGCAAGGAGAAGAATGCAAATGAAGTGCAGTTGTAATCTAGAATTTACTCTATTGGAAACAAAATTAATATGAAACTAAATCTTGATTACTGTTAATGCAATATAATCCATGCTTTATATGAAACATTTAATAAGGTGCCACTAAAATAATCTGATATTTTGATGTTTGTAATAGTTTTTAATCCATTCTCAGATTAGCATTTACATTTATATGGCACTCTGATACCCTGACTGTCTCCTTCTGCACAGGCAAAGGAATTACTCGGTAGAGAAAGAGGCACAGAGCTCCTGCCCTTCTCTTCTCAGCTCCTTTTCTTCCTGTAGAAAAAGACAGGAGCAGACACTCATACCTCTCTCAGCAAAAAGGGATGCCCCTTGCTCATTGTAGATAGACACATGGAATAGTCACTTCTGCCTTCTTGCATGAAGGAACGATTCTCCCTCGTTGCAGAGAAAAAGCAACATTTCTCTAACATAAGGGAAAGGCAACCCCCACCCCACAACTAGAGGTAAGATTAGGGATAGATTAGGATTTCCTTTCCCAGTAGTAGGGAAAATATGTTTTCTTTAGTACTGGCAGAGGAGGAAAGAACTGAGAGGGAACTTCTGCAGGCTGAATTCAGTTGTGGTCCAGAAATTCCCCAACCTGGATGTAGAATGTATGGGACAAATAGCTAGTTACTTTTTAGTTTAGCAAATATGGATGAAAATTGGTGTCATATAAGTGAACATCAGTGTGTGCACAAGACTTCCTTGCTCCTCACCCATACAGCCCTTCATACTCTCCAAAAATCTACTACAGACGGTCCTACAACCTTCTGGAACAGATGTTGAGAATTTGCAGGGGGCTGCAGAAAGAAAACGTAGTGCCCACCCTCCTAGTTCTGCTGAAACAATTAGTTCTGTCAGTAGAAAAACTAATTGGATTTCAAGTTAATTTGAGGCAAAAATAATTATTTAGGTCTGCATGCCTAAACAATATTTATAAGCTATTCCTGAAATATAGCATGCATTTTAAAGATAGTATCATATCCAATTTAGACTTACTAAAATTCCAAAGGTTAACTGTTAAGCCTGATGTTAAACAGGCCACACTGAAAATAAGCCACGCTGCAAGACATCCTGTTAGGTTTGCAGCCTTACATTGAGATGAATTTGAAGTATGGTTTTGTAGATTAGAGAGCTGCGTTCCTCTTTAATGAGCAAAATTTTATAAACCAAACAATGTTGACACTTTAGAAAAATATTATTTAAGATTGATTGTTTTAATAATTGTAATAACAGCTAAAGTCCTGTTATCCAGTCCTTCTTATGCCCTACATAAGTCAGTATTCTTAATAGTTTGTCCTAAATGAACTCTTTGTCTCTTTTTGTTTTGCTTCAATGTACACTTCAGCAGCCTTTTGATGATGATCCTGATAAAGAGAAAAAAATAAAAGAACTGGAGCTGCTGCTTATGTCTGCTGAGAATGAAATCAGGAGAAAGAGAGTCTCAGCTGTAAGAACTGTTCTTATAAATACGCATTTTTCCTGACTGTGCAGTGATGGTTGCTAATAGCCATCCACTGTGCATAATTAAAATAAATTACTGAACAAATAGATTATATTTCAAATTTTTATGCCTCTTCTACTTTCCTATTCTCCTCTATATAGCAGTACAGACCAGGAATCAAACAACCCTAGAGGGAATCCTGTTGCCCTTATTTGCTTGAGTGGAACAAATGGGGGAGGGGAGGAAGTTGAGACTGAGTTTGGATGATACAATGTGCTACTTTCAACAGCTGCCTTAAAGCTTTCAGAAATTTTCTTGTATCTTTGTCAACATTTTCTTTTGCCTTTGCCAGATCATGGAGGGCAAAGGCAAAGCTGAAGAACTGGAAGGACACACAAGGAGCAGCCTGCACAATAACAGTTCATATGGGATCTCTGCCTCCTGTTAGATAGTGAATGACCTGTTTCTTCCCTTAAGGAATGTATTTATCCTTAGAATAGCAATATCCTTGGCTTATAGGCTACTTACCTATCAGGGTGAAACTTGAAAAAGCCTTACATATATAGACATGCAGTATTCTAGTTCACCATTTAAAGTGCATTAACATCTAATTTTTATTCTTGTTATATGCAGAGTGGTGAATATGGATTTCTTTCTAGATGTGTGTGAGAGGCGGCTGGATTCTATGTAGTTTTGATTTGGAAATTGAATTGTTTAAAGAAATCTGACAAGCATCTGTAATCTTGAGGAAAGCCAACAGCTCCTTATTTTCTTGAGTCATTGCTTTCAAGAAAATAGTAAATACAGACAGTGGTTGTGGTCCTGCCAGGTCATACATATGGGGGACCCCTGCACATGTGCACACCAGCTGGTAGGCATATGGAGGCCCTATAGTTTTTCGTAATTGCCATCATTAGACAAAAAATGCCTTCTAGTTTTGCTCAAAATAATTTAGTTTAAAAACAGTTGGTTAATAGTTAGGTAATAGTCCACAGAAAGTTTTCATTCTTGCCATGCCTTTTTCTACAATTCAGATGTTATGACTGATACCACATCTGCCATAGGCTAGGCTGGTGCAGTCATCTGGAAGTAGTCAGTGTGTCTTCTTTTCCCTGCCTGTACATGCTGCTTATGTGTCACATGATTTGCCTAGGTATTTCTTGTGGTACACATGGGATGCTGTACTGTCTGAACCCAGTGAGATACGTATGTTGTGGTGGCAGCATTGAAATACCTCAGAACTTGTATGGTGGTTTAGAAGTCCCTCTCTGCTGTGAATCTTGCTGGTTTCAGATGACCTGGCAACTGATGCTGTGACAGTAATTAGGCAAATCCTGTTGTGTATGACTAGCTCATGCAGGGTATTGTGTTTGTGAATGTGTGAATCCACCCATAGGACCTACAGTTACTTTTGTTGATTATACCTGGAGGAATTAGTTGGAACTTATTTCCTAAATCACGTATGTTTTAAGGAGCAAGCTATCCATGTCATACAAATGTGTGTAACAGAGCCCTTGATTTTTTAATTTGTTTTTTTTTTTAAACAGATAAGAGGGCAGAGCACCTTGGGGTAAAAAAAAATGGCTGTTGGAGAAATTGTTAAGTATTCCTTGCAGCTTCTTTGCTCGAATTAAATAACACACACTGGGGCTCTTTTTGTGTATAATATGTTATTAGCTCCTAAGCTACAAAAGTGTGTAGGTGCTTGAATATTTTACATAAGAAGAGCGTGAGAATTATTCTCAATAAAGTTTTATGTTCTGTCAGATTCTCTAATCCTTTTTATAGTCTGACTTTCTATTCATCTAAAAATTTGATTATTGATTTCAGGCTGAGTGAATTAGCTACAGATTTGAGAAGGTTGCATTGGCATAATTAGGAACATAATTGTGTCACAGAATATTATTTTATGTTGGGCACTGTTTTTGATCTCTTCCAAACAATACAGAGTATAGGGAAAAACAAAATCATGTTTGATCTACAGCAGAATCCCATGCATCTTTACACAGAAGTATTGTGTTAAATGTGGCTTTCTCTCAGGTAAGGATGCATAGGATTGCAAGTATAAGCATATAATTTATCAGATCCAATAAGTGCCATTTATTTATTTACAGCAAGTTTTCTATAGAGCATTTCCATTAACAATGAACCCAGTGAAATTTATATTGAAATCCACTATACCAATTTTGATTTATCTTTAATTTCAATAAAACAGCAGCACTTTTTTGTATTCTTAGCAAGCTGGAAATTTTTGTAACTGGTCTGGAAGCTTCATCATGGAAGACAGCATGTCAAATACCCTAAATAGCCTTGCAGAGCAAACAAATGACTTTTATATGGATGATACTCACGCTGGAACAGCGCAGCAAAATTCACCTACCAAATATTTGGCTGTGGAGGCAAATGCAGTGTTATCATCTCTACAGACCATTCCTGAATTTGCAGAAACATTAGAACTCATTGAGTCTGTAAGTCTGAATCAACATGTACATGTAGATAGCTCTATGTAACAGAAACAATAGCAGCAATACTAACTTATGTATATTGGGTTTTGTGGGGGGAAACAGTATATAATCAGTAAATGTATAAAATTCTGGAATAATGTTAGGGTCCTGAATTAAAACTACTAGAGCTAATGTTAGGATTAGAATTAAATTATATAATCTTGGTCAGTTCTCTTGGCATAACTATCTCTTAAGCAAACAAAATTATAGCTCCCTTGTTTTCCTTCCATTTGACTTGGATGTTGCAGGATCCTGTAGCATGGAGTGATGTCACAAGCTTTGACCTATCTGATGCAGCTGCCTCTCCTGTCAATCAAGCACCAGTAAAACTAATGCGGATTCAACACAATGATGGTGCCATGGAGTGCCAGTTCAATGTAAGTGTTCTACTTGATGGAAAAAAAACAAATGACGAGGAAGAATCAGCATCTCCAAGTGCAGCCAAGTTCAGCACTCCTCCAACTATTTTGCGCAAGAAGAAGAAAGTCAAAGCTGGACAATCACCAGTGAGTGAACAGAATGATGGTTCATGTGGAAGTGCTCCAGATATTCAACTAAAACAAACACCAGTGAAAACACTACCCTTTTCTCCTTCTCAGGTAAATCAGTGATATAATTAATGCAGTAATTAACTTTATAATTGTTTTTTTTACTGCCTAATAGCTGGAGCTTTCTGGGTAGTTCACAAGATCGTGATAGAAATATGAATTTTATGAATAAAACCTATTGTAAAATCTAAAACAAATTAAAAGAGCCTTATTAAAAAAATGAAGTAAAACCTACTGAATAAAAATGAAGTAAAACCTGAGGGCAAAAGTAATGCAAAGATTTTAAGAACACCAACAAAGGAATTACAATTGGTGTAGTTGAATAGATTAAATGGTGCCATCTATCTACAAATTGTTGACAGAATATTGTTAATTCAATTGAAGTGATTAATAACATAAGAACTGTGCTGGATGGAAGAGTCCGTCTGGACCAGCATTTTGTTTAAACAGTGGCTAATTAGTTGCCAACAGGGAACCCACAAGCTGGACATCAGTGCAACAGCACCCTTTCACATGTGTTCCCCAACACCTAGTGTACATGGACATACTGCCAGTGATGGCCTTATCACCTATGAATTTGTCCAGTCACCTTTTAAAGTCATTCAAATGGGTGACATCACTGCACATTTTGGAAGCAAATTCAAGTAACTTTGTTATGTGGAAAAAGTATTTCCTTTAATCTGTCCTAAATCTCCTACCAATTAACTTCATGGAATGACCCAGTATTAGGGTTTGTAAAATGGTTTTCGCTATCCACTTTCTCCATACAATACATAACGCTGTATACTTCTGTCATGTCTTTCCTTACTCTCTTTTTCCTAAGCTAAGCAATTTTCATATTGTAAACTTTCCTCATATGGGAGTTTCTCCAGCCCCTTGATCATTTCAGTTAGCCTTTCCTGCACTTTTCCCCACTCTACAATCTCTTTTATTAGGTATGGTAATCGAAACCGTACATAGTATTCTGTGGTTGCACCATAGATTTATATGAGTATGGTATAAAATTGGCAGCTTTACTTTCAACTTTCTCCTAATTATGCCTAACATAGCGCTTCCCCTTTTCACAGCAGCTGCACAATAGGATGGCATTTTCATCAAACTGTCTCTTACGACTCCAAGATCTCTTTGTTGGTCAGTCACCACTAGCTCAGCTTCCATCAGCTTATGTGTGAAGCTGGGATTTTTTGCCCGAATACATGTCACTTTAATTTAGCCTACATTATAGAATTTACCATATTTATGCTCATTCTCTGAGTTTGGAACTCTACAATTCCTTTTTGTTTTAGAAACATAGAAACAGAGCAAGTCAGAAGGGGTCTCCCGGGCCATCTAGTTTGACCCCCAGCTCCAGCTGGCTGCACTCATGACATACCTACCATGTGCATGTCCAGCCTATCCTTGAACACCTTCACTGATGGGGTTCAACCACTTCCCATGGAATCCCATTCCATACCCTAGGGTTCCTAACTGTCAGGAAGTACTTCCTGGCATCCAAATTGAACCTTGGTTCTCTGAGCTTTGCTCTATTGGAATGCATCCTGCCCTCCTCTGCAGGGGAAAACAGGTCTCTACCCACCTCCATGTGGCACCCCCTCACATACCTATATGTTGCCAACAGACCCCCTTGGAGTCTCCTCTTCAGGCTGAAAAGACCCAGCTCTCTCAGTCTTGCCTCATAAAGCTTTTCCTGCAATCCAGCCTCCATCTTTGTGGCCCTGTGCTGCACTGATGTCATTCTAGGAATTTTTCTTGTCTTACAGTGCTTTTGTATAGACCAGGTTTTTCCTCTAGTCTCTAGCCCTGATGATTTTAGAAAAGAGCTCCAAAGACATGGGTATGATAACTCAAGAGTTCAACAGTACAGCAAAGTAGAATAGAAAAAGACATATTGTCTTTATTTATAAAGATTATTAACAGTGCTGCTGTTTAACAAATAGTTTTTTTCTAGTGTGAGGATGCTGAATTATATTTGAGAATAAACATCTCATTTAGTGTAAATTAAGAACAATTGTTCCTAATTTAAGAACTTACTGAAGAGCTGGTATCTATAGTCTTACATGGGAAAGTGCACAAATAATGCTGTGGACCATGTTCCTCTTTTTTGGCCTAAAACCACCATACTTTATTCAATGTACTGCTTGCTTATACATACTTAATTGTGGGTCATAAAATTTCTAGTGTGGCATGAGATGCCAAATAAGGATTTCACTTGTTACAGGGTTGCTCTTGTGTGTAACAGAGTCAAAGAAATCAGAACAATTAAGGCTGTGTAAGCCAATACAGAACAGGT